AAGGGTTTACCATTATCTTAATACTGGAAGAGGACAATATCACGAAGTTGATGAAAGTGAAGTGCTGGAAAAAGCACAAAACTTTTATATAAAATTAAACGGTGAACGATATGATACTAGGATGAATAATAATCTTGAAACATGGAATGAAGCAAGAGATAGAGCTTACTTCGAAGCTCAAGAAGCTGTAGATTATCTGTGGGAAAGTACCCTCACATATTTAAATAACCATCATAATGAAGAATATATCTGGCAAATGAATGAATCTTTCAACAATAATAGAGAAGCTGCTATCTCTAGATTACCAACTATCCTAGATTTAACCGAGGATAATTTATGTCATAATTGCTATTTTCCATTTAGCAATGAAGACTTGAGACAAACTAACAAGATGTTTAATCTTTCCTTTGTATGTTTATGTAATTGTCTTAATTTCTTCCAGTGACTCACATGAGCAGGTATTGATGGTCTAATTGTTATTTCTATTTCCCAATTTAATATCTCCATTTCTAATTGTTGTAATTGATTTTGTAAACGATGGTATGATTCCCAATTCATATTATTAGGTTCACTTGTCCAATGTGTTCTTCAAAACATTGTATTATGTAAATTTTGTGAAGAATTATTTTCATTTTGGTTTCTACTTGGTGATGAATATCTAACAGGTGCCATTTTCAATAATTATAGTAAAAAAAATATTTTCAAAAGTAATTTGATTCAAGATGAAAAGGAATTACTTATATAATAAATTTTCAGAACAAATTTTAGATTCTAAGAATTTCTCTTATCTAGTAACTAATAATTAATTAATACATGATTATTCAGATTTTCACTGAGTCTAAGTTTTTATATTACTTAGGCATATTATATAAATACAAAAATCAATTTCCACTGGATGAGAATTTCTTTCTTCCATCCTGACATATTCTTCTATGGTACTGAGCTTTTTGTTTCTCCGTGAGATGAGTTTTTGCATAACATTTGCAATATTGGTTTTGATTTTTCTCATGTCGAAGGATTTCTTTTCCAAAATCCTCCTCACAGACTTCTTGTGCTTCTTCAATTATTTTTTTAATTTCATCAGTTATGGGGTCAACCAACCATGGTTCTGGT